TCATAAATACTGAGGTTGAAGTAGGTATGTATGTAAAACACATTTTGGCTCAATGCCCTGAAATCTCTGGAGAAGTTCACAGAAGAGGCTATAGTAAAGTGCAAAACAAGCGACTGCGAGTGTGAGCGCCTGGCTTCTTGTCAGATTCCAGGTCCCAGTAGCTGAGACTATTCGGTGCCAGCTTTACTACCTGCTTCTGTGCTGTCTTGCACACCTGCTCACCCTGCGGGTCCACGGTGTCCAGGGCCAGCAGCTGCTTGGTCAGAAGCCCCTCTAGGCCGACGTAGGTCTTATCTATGTGGCTGCTGCCAAAGGAGTGTCTTGGATCTCTTGGATGCTCCAGTAGGCTTTGTGGGATGGGTGCTCTCCACACAAACAGTTTCCATTCTCCATGGCTTCCCTCACATCCATGTATGTGATAAAGGTGTGCAACTTGATCCTTGCCCTCCTCAGGGCTTCTGGGACCCAGGCCTTTGCCAAGCTCATGTCCAGTTGACTGATGTGGTCCAAGCTCAGGTACATCCTGAGGATTGAGGGGAGAGGAGGGGATTTGGTGCTTGGAGGAGTTTGGTTTTTATTTTTCTCATCCTCTTGAGGACCTTCTTGATCTTGAAAATGGAATGGTCTGTCCCAGGTCAAAGGCATGCATTGCATTCACATCCTTGTCCATGTCTATGGACTTTAGCAGCTTGTTGATGTCCTCCACTACCTCCATGTGGTAGTTCCCAATCTGCCCACCCAGGTCTGCGATCAGTACCAACAGCACACATGCACAAGTGGCCTCCACAGCTCCTTGCTATTCGCGCCTCTCAGGAGTGTCCCAGGCTTTGTTACCTTGCACATCATGGTGCTAGCAGATTTTGGCCACAGAGGGGTGCATGTCCTCCAAGAGCGGCAGGGATGGCTACTTCTTAATGCAGTCCTTCTACGATCTCCTGCACCTCGCAGATTCCGCTCAGGGTATGGTACCTTGCTTTCCTCAGGGAAACTTTCCCACCGGTTGTCACTTGGGTTAGCCCCAGAATGATATCCTGGATCCCCTCCTCAAGCCCGTCGGTGAGACAGCTGCCCCTGCTGTAGCAAGGTGATTTCCTCCTTCACCAGGGCAGGGCCTCCTTGGAAGAAGCTCTGGATCTCCGGCCAGTGCGGGTCCTCAGCATTGTGCTCCAGCTCTTTGAGGAGACAGACACTCTTGTCTACTGGGCCGCCATTTCCCTTGCTTGCTGAATGTCCCCTCCCCTCCATGGCCACAGAGCCGATCTCAAAGAGTTGCTTTTTGAGGATCCATTCCAGTTGCTTGTAGCACTTGGCCTTGGGCAGGCCATGGAAGCCCAGGACTTTCGGTTCTAATGGAAGGATGCCTGTTTCCCATATCCAAAGTTGGGGTGGGTTCAGTTTCACAAGTACTGTGTTGCTATTGCTAGGCGCCCCTAATTATTGCAGTTGCTGTACTACTGGAAGAGCTGGGTCTTACTATGCCCCTGCTCAGTAGTTAGCTGTTTAAAGAACACAGGTGTGTCCCGTGGCTTCCTGTCTTGGTCTTATCCTCCTGTATAAGTGTAGATGTGCTCAAATGCCTAAAATGCCCCCTTCCCTTTGGAGCACCCGTTTTCTTGGACGTTTGTTTTCACTGTAGTTATTGGTAATCTGCTACTCCTGGTCGTAGTTGTTGGGATTGTGACAGCCCTGGCCTCACTCCTGGGTTCCAGGAGTCTTAAAATCCACAGATGCTTTGGAGTGGACAGTGGTATCTTAAGCAGCAGCAGTAGGACATTGACTGAAAAGAATAAAATGTTGATTTATTCTTCTAAGAAATTTGAGCCCCTCTTAAAGTGAGTGAATGGAAATGAAGATAAAAGTCTATCATGAGAAGGTCCTTAGGATGGGTGCAACAGCATGAGTGGAGAAACCCTAGCGAGGCAGGCTCCTCCTCTCGAAGATAAGCCGGGTAAGAAGAGTACAGTGTCACAGACCAACCATTTGTTGTAAGCAAGAAATCTGACTAATGTTGATCATTTTAATTCGTTATAATAAGAAAGGTCCATTTTACGAGCTTATTTAAAATAAGCTTTGGGTCCTTGGAAATTTAGCTGTAGGTTTAAGAGTGTGTGTGTGTGTGTGTAGGATATAGGGAAATTGGAACCCATTATATCCCCTGTCCCAGTTTTCTGTTATAACCCTAAAGTTTTCTAATTGGTTGATTTTAAACGGAAATGGTATATTTAACAATAGAGAATCTTGGCCTAGCTAGATTGTAACGTTTTCTGAAGACTGTGGTGTGTTTGTGATGCGTGAGACCCCTCTATGCATTGAAGTAAAAATTCAGCTCCCTTTTCAAAGAAGGAACCCTGGTTGTGCTTTGGGTTAAGCATTGGGCTTTTAACCTCAAGGGCGAAAGTTACTCATCAGCCATTCCTTGGGAGAAAGACAAAATTGTCTTCTGTGAAGATTTACAGTCTTGGAAACCCTCCGGAGCAGCTCTCTGCCCTGTAGGGTCACTCTGAGTCAGTGTTGACTTACTGACCATGGATTTGAATTTTCTCTTCAAGAAAAGAAACATGGTCTCACAGATTAACCACTTGGCAGCTAACCCAGCAATTGACAGTTCAAACTCGCCAGCCCCTTCATGGGAAAAGACAGGGCGGTCTATTTTCTTGTTGTTGTTGTTTTAATTGTTTTATTATGGACGGTGTACTTTCTAGAGAGATTTACAGCCTTGGAAACCTTATGCGGCAGCTCTACTGTGGGGTGGTTAGGAGTTGCAATCCATGTGGGGGCAAGGAGTTTGGTGTGTTGTATTCGCAGGGAAGTCATCGGGAGTCAAACAAGTACTTTATATGGTTTAATAATTCTATAGTGCAAGTAAATATACACAGTGCAGCAGAAGAGGAGGAATTATTTCTGCCTGGGAAGACTTTAGGGAAGAAGTAACTTTTGGGCTGAGTTTAGAAAGGGGAGACAAGCTAGAGTATTAGCTCAGGAGGAGGAGCAAGGTGGGTAAGAAGGTTGTGGTTGTGAGCAAACATAGTCTGTGTGGACATCTCACAGAGCTCAGTGTTTCTGGAGCATAAAATGTAAAGAAGAGGGAATGACGGTAATGATGTCCCAAATTAGATGGTGTCTAGTCTAGGATTTCTAAAATGTTTATGATGAGGAGGGGAGTAATTTTGCTGTTTACTGAGAGAAAGACAGTAGAAGAGAAAGAGATGGGAAGTCAAAGAGCTTAGTTGCAGACCATGCATGCAAGCCCTGCAGGGACTGTCTAGGTGAAAAACAACTAGTAGTGGTTGAAGGATATGAGTTGTTGGTAATGTGTTATTTTGATATAAAAGGTATAGGTAGAAGAATAAGTCAAGTGAGAAGAGCGAACAACAAAAAGTTGTTTAAAAAATCATTTTATTGAGGTCTTGTACAACTCATCACAATTCATACATACATCCATCCATTGTGTCAAGTACATTTGTACATAGGTTGCCATCATGTTTCAAAACATTTTCTTTCTATTTGGTATCAGCTCATTTTTTCCCCTTTTCCCACCTTCCTGAACTCTTGATAATTTATAAATTAATATTTTTTCATGTCTTATACTGACTGATGTCTTCTTTCACCCACTTTTCTGTTGTCTGTCCCCCTGGGAGGGCATTATATGTAGATCATTGTGATCGGTTCCCTCTTTCTCACCCTACCTTCCACTTCCCCTCCTGGTATCACTACTCATTATTGGACCTGAGGGGTTTATCTGTCCTGAATTCTCTGTGTTAAGAACTTATATCTGTACCAGTGTACCTGCTCTGATCTCGCCAAATTTGTAAGGTAGAATTGGGGTCATGATAGTGGGGTGTAGGGGAAGCATTACAGAACTAGAGCAAAGTTGTATGTTTCATTGGTGCTAGACTGCACCGTGACTGGGCCATCTGTTCCTTGTGACCCTTCTGTAAGCGGATGTCCAATTGTCTACAGATGGGCTGTGGGTCTCCACCAAGCACCCCCTCCCCTCATTCACATTGATATGATTTTTTGTTCTGGGTCTTTCACATTGCTATGATATTTTTGTTCTGGGTGTTTGATACCTGATACTTGATCCTGTCGACACCTCATGATTACTCAGGCTGGTGTGCTTCTTCCATGTGGGCTTTGTTGCTTCCCTGCTAGATGACCGCTTGTTTATCTTCAAGCCTTTAAGACCCCAGACACTATATCTTTTGAAAGCTGGGCACCATCAGCTTTCTTCACCACATTTGCTTATGCACCCACTTTGTCTTCAGTGATCGTGTAGGGAAGCTGAGCATCACCGAATGCCAGGCTATCAGAACAAAGTGTTCTCGTAGTGAGGGAGTACTTGAGTAGAGGCCCAATGTAACAAAAAGTTTTGAAGGTCAGGTGCAAGTAGACAATCAGCATGAGAAGGAGACAGATAACAAAAGCAAAGTATTTTTTAAATGTCTTTTGGAAATTTAAAGGGAAATCATGACTAAATTCAAGTTGATCATACTTTTAAAATGTGTTTATTTAGATTCTACTGGAACTAACCCAGGCCTATTTTACATGTGAAAAAAGTGTGGTCCTCAGGTGGAAATAGGAGGAGAAGCATGAGGGCAGGTGGTAAGAATTGAAAAAAGGCTGAGAGGCTTAGCAGTAGCTTATTAATGAGGCATGTAGTGGTATGGCCAAACATTTTAAGAACCCTGGTTAAGTCTGAACAGTGAGGAGGATAGATTCCACAGGGAACCACAGCTGAGATTATCAGGGAAACCATTAAATAATCCAGTTTACAGACCTTTGTTTTTAAATTACAAAGTTGCAAGATTTGATCTATAAAATCAGAGTGGGATCTCTACAGCATTCCTTCAGACAAATCTAGAGGGACCCATGATGAAATGTCAAATAAGGGTATAAATTATATAAGAGGAAAAACGGGGGTAGTTCTTGGGAGGCTGTTTAACAGACAATAAGACATAAAGGAAAAGCTAGAGCGACTTAATTGCGTAGAAGGGGCTCTCATGGTGCTGTCTGGTAAGGGTGTTGAACCGCTGTCAAAACCTACCACTGTCTTAGCTGTAGCAAGTTGAGATTTTTGTAAAGATATTTTTGTAAAGATATTTGTAAAGATATGCAATCTCAGAAACCTTACCGGAGTTACTATGAGTTTAGTGGACTGTATAAAACCCAACCTACATCATGAGAGCCCCTTGACCTCCTCAGACCATAATCTCATGTATGTTTATATCACCGAGTCATCAATTTACATGATCGCATTATAAAACACTCACTGATATATGCTACAAATAATCTCACCCCCCAATTAGTTGTCATTTTGAAATTTTACTCACAATATGGTCTGAGGAGGTCTACTTGGTCTTCAAAGTCCCCAAGTCCTGGAGGGCTGTGGAAGTTGTGATGAAATAGATGTCAATTATGGGGGAGTAACCAGATCCATGGATGGTACTGACAAGGAGTAAACTGTTGCATGACCTCTGCTAGTGGATAGTAATGCACAGATCTCAAAGGATACAATATTAGCAGTGCTTACAGAACATTCCTGAACCTTCTGTGCTTCAGGAGGTATAAACAAAACCAAAGGCTTGAAGAAAAGGTGCAAACCAGTTTGGAAAGCGTGTTATGCATAATCAGACTCTCCCTGCTTGTTTTAGTACTGACTACCAAGGTCGTCAGCCAGAAGATGGTGTATACTGCTGCATTTTGATTGGGCAGCATTTTGTTAAGTCTGTGTATTATAATCTTGGAGTCCTACAGTGCCACTGATTTTATTTGGATACATTGAGTCATGATCTTTTGTGTTTTCTTTTGAAATAAAAAATTTGCCAGAATGATGGCTGATTCAAATGTAACTATTTCTACTGAGACTAGCTGATACAATTAAGAATAATTCTCTGGAAATGGCGACTGAGATATAGATTAAAGCTAAATTTCCATATGTAATAAGACTATAGTGACAAATGGTGGACTTTGAGGCTGGCAGTTAGAAGGAGAAGGCGGATTTAAACTACAAAAAGCTATTTAAAATCAGCCAGACCCAATATACCTCATAGAACTCTTGATTGTGTAGTGGTTACTTATTGGGCTGCTAACCTCATAGTCAGCAGTTCAAAAGCACCAGTTGCTCCATATGAGAAAAATGAGGCTTTCCACTCCTGTCAAGAGTTACAGTCTTAAAAGCCTCACAAGGGCAATTCTAATTCGACTCAGTCCTATACAGCCACTATGAGTCAGAATTGTCTTGGGGATGGCCATTGAGTTTTTAATTATTTAATTTTTTTAGTATACCTCAATAACTCACTTGATACTTACTATGGAATTCCACATGCTAACAGGTTACTATGTAACAAGCAGGATATTATTTAATTCCCACAACAGCCCTTCCAGTAGGAATTATTATTTCCATTTTAAAGCAGAGGAGACACAGGTCTAAGAGTTTGCCTGCGTCACCCCCATTTTAACCATTCAGCGCTCTGGAGTAGTAGTTTGGCTCTAGCGGTAGATTCTGTTCTCTCAGTAGACATTCATACCAGTTTTATAATGTCCTTGAAGTTGTAAGCTTAAAATAGGAAAACCCCTAATTTTAAACAACATTTGAGAGGCTATTTGTTTATAGGTTCATTGTATTTTATGCAGCTAACCCCTCTTCTTCTGCATTTCCCTCCACATTTTCTCATATTCTACTTTGACCTGTAGTGCATGTTCTCGAATTTTTATACTTGTCTTACCTTTAAAACTATGAAAAAGTGTTTATGTCTATTTTGAAATCCCAAGGATGCTTATAACAACATTCCAGTTGGTCCCGTGTTCTATATTGAGTATCTGAACTTGTTATTATGAAAGCATGCTTAAATTTTTAAAATCCACTTGGAAATACTTTTTAAGACTAGGAAAAGAGCCGGATAACCGGCTAATCAGACCATGTAAATTTTACTTACTTAAAATTATGTGTTTTAGGTCAGTCGTTTAGTACTTAAAAGAAAATGGGTTAGGTTTTTCCTCATCTTTTTCCTCTCCCTCTCATTTTTACCCTTCCTTCTAGTGTAATCTGTTACCTAGTTTCCAAATCAGCAGCAGCAGTTATCTTCCAATTAGCTTGAATTGGTGCTTACATATTTGTTGGTAGATGGCATTGCCAGTCCTTTCCTAAAAGGACAAGTGTAGTCTCTCAGCTCGGCAACTGGGTGTTGCTGTTCACTTGTACTGTACTGCGAAGGAGGACAGGCAAATTAAGGTGTAAAACAAATATTCTAAAGGAGTTAGAGCCTAGATGTTCCACTGATCTCTAGTTAAAGACAATCAAGACACTGTAACGGTTTTAAAATTTTTAAAAATCTCTGACTGTGCTTCTGGTTTAATATTTCATTCTTAAGTGACCAAAATGATTTACTGGCTGAGCCATATTTTTCAGGGCTCGAGAACTAGAGGCAGCCATGGGTTCCCTGGCTGGTCATTACAGCTTGGAACGTTATGACCCAGGCTTCTCAAATTATCTAGTATATTGAATTCAGATGTTAGCATTTCTTGCTTGAATTCTGATTTGCAGACTATAAAATCTTCCTGTGGAGCCATGTTAGTTCTACCTTAAGAAAGAAAACACCCCCCTCCGCTGAGAAGAAGTGGTACTTCCTGCTTTCATAAACAGTCATGTGCATAGTTTAGCAAGGCCTGGTGCCTCTGGAGCTTTTCCCCTTTCTAGCAGCATTGAATCCCAGTCCTAAGAGAAGTACTGCGAATCTTGTGGCCTCGTTCTGAACAAAAGAGATTAGAGAAGAAAAATCTCTTGATATAAGGCTTGAAAGCAAGGGCGGGCAATCGTGGTTGTGAATATTTTCTGATTTTTCCAGAAATCAAGCAGAAGATTGAGCTGCTGATGTCAGTTAACTCTGAGAAGTCGTCCTCTTCAGAAAGGTACAGCTCCATCTCTTGCATGAAACAATTAATGGTGTAGCATTGCTAAGAAACAAACCAGACACGATGGTGATTTCCTTGTCAAGTTTGCTGTAATGCATTGTGCTGCATGCCGGTCATTGTCTTGTACTGAAGATGTATATTTGAGCAGGCTGTTCTGCTTTTGCAAAACGTAATTGATTTTAAAAACTAGTGGAGCTTAAGCAGCTGCAGCACGCACACCCTACCACAGCAGACTGCTTTTCATGTGTGACAGCTGGTGAGGGCTTTCAAAAATTATTTAGTTAAAAACACAGCAACAACAAAATTACCACAAAACATGATTATTTTTTAAATCTTGCCTTGCTTTAAGGAAATGCTGCCATTCGATTTTCTTCCCATATTTTGAGGTTGCTGCCACACAAAATTACCAGGGTTATTTGTAAGGTTTAGGTAGAAAATATTTGATAATTGGATAGAATATTATGTGGAAAAGGGAGTGCCATTTGTAAATAGCTTAGGAATTGCAAACCCACAGATTAGTCACATTCTGAAAGAGATATGGTGCTTCTTCAAGTCTGTGCTAGGAAATGGAACAGTCACTGCATGCAGTAATGGTTCATGCCTGCAGGTAAGGACAAAATGACTCAGAAGTATTTTTAAAGCAATTATTTTATTTGTCAATCAAATGATTATAAGGAAGTACTTGATTAAATGACTATTTTCCCTTATTCTATACAAGTCTAAGACATTTTTATCTCCAGTCAGTAAAGAGGCTCTAGTTGATAAAGTAAATATTGTGCTCTCTTCAGTTTACCAAAATTGTATGTAAAAATACTGTTTTCAAATTGAGCTTCTTGGGCAAACAGTTGGTACTTACCTTTCTCTTGGTTACCTTACTGGTTTATACTTAAGGCTGCTATTTTGTGCTCATGGTGTGTTGATTTCTTCTATTCTGGTTTTGGTTTCCAGGATTATCTTTTTGCTTATAGATTCAATATTTAAGGATGATACTAGGGAGAAGTAATTCAGTAACGAAGGAGTGCTGTAGGAAAAATATTTTTAAATGGTGAGGCGAAGAACTCAGAATGGTAAAATGGATTTAATTAAAGTGCACAAGTGTGTGGAGGACATGGCCTGAAGGCAAAATGATCACACCAAATCAATGGATCAGCAAGGCTGCTAACTAACTTAGGACCTTACAAATAAGGAAGATAATCCTGCTCTCTTTAGGTAGCGAAACGGGCATTTAGGAAGGCTCGTGTTTATTTTTAAGTAGTGTCTGACTTCTGATCTGTGACTAGTATACAATGTTAAGCATTCTGTTCCCTGATGAAAAACAGTTTTCAGCCTTGTGCATGTCCTGCCAGTAAAATGGTGGTGATGGGAAGAGGGAGCTGGCTGATGGTGTCAACAGTTAACTATCCAGGTGCCAACTGTAAAGTTAAGAGTTTGGTTACTACCATGAGCGTTCTTAAAAGTGGCGACAAGAATTATGTGAGCTATTGTAGTTACATGAATTCTTTATAGATAACAGAGTGATTGAATATGGTAGCGAAGCAAGGTAGGGAATAGGTGAAGGTTTACTGGTTAAAAAATTAATTCATAAGGAAAAGTATTCTAAAATACTTTGGTGATTGCATTTGCATTCTTAACCTAGACTTAAGAGATTAGCAGAAGGAAAGGGAGGATGCCCAGGTCATGCTGTGAAAGTTGAGAAATCAGCTCCTGTGCTCACAATATTTTAAGACAGTTTGGCCAGGACTTGCTTGCTTTGTTTATTATTACTTAAGGGAAGGATATATTTGGCATTTGTGTTACGCTGATATGTAACAGGCAATAAATACAGCTTATAGATCAGCTAACACATGCAAATGTAGAATTTGTTTCAATCTTGTAAACATAGAAAATTGCCTCTTTTTTCTGTTGATTAAAAGCCATGCAATAAAGAATAGTCAAATCATTTGTCGTTTTAAATTGTTCAGTAGAGCTTGAAAAATACAAATCTGAATAAAAACCAAACCCAAAGCACAACATCTTGCCCAGGAATTATTTAACACCTTATACTACCAAGTACACTATTACCTATAAGAAATAATTTACCATTTCTTTCTTTAAATCATTGTTCCTAGTCTCACCTAAATGTGAATTTTTATTTTTTTAACATTTTATTAGGGGCTCATACAACTGTCATCCCAATCCATACACACATCAGTTGTCTCACCTACATTTTTAAAGGATTTGCTTGGCCTTAAAATTTCTCGCTTTTTTCTTCAATTTTAAGATAGCACTTTGAGGCATGGGCTGAATCTTACAGGTATTTGGAATACACGCGCGCACACACACACATGATAGTAGTCCAGTATCTGCTAGTAAAAGGGATAAAGACATTGTTTCTTAAAACAAGGGAAAAAACTACTTGATTGTTAGAAACCAAATTCACTAGAAGTGATCTGGTTCATGCAGCATAGACTGATCTGATAATTAGAGAAGTCAAATGGATTAAGCAGCCTTTCTAAATGTAGTAAATAATCCATGATGGGATGTTCCCCTTCACATTTTTAACTTGCTAAAGTACTTGCTAAAGGAAGTACTAATCTTGATTGAATTAGTATTTTGTTCCAACAATTTTGGAAAATGGGCAAAGCAAAAGTAAAAGCAAACTTTCCTTTTTGGTTGACTGCTAACCATTGCTACTTCATTGAAAAATAGAAATAAAAAGAAATCTTACAGCTTTTGAGGGGACTGTGAGGAGCACAAGGTTGCACAGTGGTTAAGGGCTAGGTTCCTAACAGGAAGATTGGTGGTTTGAAGTCAGCAGCACCGTGGGAAAAGCTGAGGCAGCCTGCTTTCAGAAAGATGGACACCCTTGGAGACATAGGAAGTGCGGTCCTGCTCTGGACGGTCGCTGTGAGTTGAATCTGCTTGAACGCAGTGGGGTTTGGTTTTGGAGTTACGGAAATTATTTGAACAGATCTTAAATACACTGGAATTTAAATTTACATTTTTATCTTTTTCAGAATATGGAGAGGCATGAGCTATTTCTGTTCAGGATAGCTGACTTGAAGGAAAAAATTAAAGGGGATATCATAAAAAGTTATACTTTATTTTTTTGTTTTATATTTGGAAGAGAGAAAATTTTCAGCCTATTCATTTTCTTCAAAAATTAAAGATACAAAAATATATTAAAAAAAATTAAAGATACAGAGCATGATGGAATCGATTTTTTAAAAATTCCTGGTTTGTATGTTTTGGGTTGATAAAAGAAAAAAAAAGGGAAGATGTTTCTGCAAATGAGAGAGTTGCAGAGAGCGATTTGGGACTAAATCTGACTGGAAATATTTTCTTTTTCAAATGAGTGCCTATTGAATGAATATATTCATCTTAAGCGTGGTAGCATCCGTGCCAGGCACAATTTTACTTCCTTGTACTCCTTTCCCCATTTAATGTCATAAAACACAATGGATGTTTATTTGATGCAAAAACTAGGATTTTAAGCCTCCGTTTTTGGGTTTTTTTTCCCTAAGCCTCTTTCTTACTCCTGACTTTCTTATTCCTTACTTTGTACCCCTGAGATTTGTGGATTTGTTGGGTAGAGGACACTAGGGAGGAAGAAGAGTATTTGATAATCTTAATAGCTTGAACAAATGAGATGGCTATAGCTATCAAGTATTACTAAACAGTTCAGATACCAGGTCTTATCTTCCTTCCTTGGAGCAGCTGGAGGGCTTGAACCACTGACCTTTCTTAGCAGCCCAATGCTTAACCCACAGCACCACCAAGGCCCAGTTAGTGCTCTATATAGA